ATTTTCATGTGAGGATTCCCCATCTGGCACCAAGAGCTATTGTAGAGAGGAAAAGAAAATGGCCATGTTTTTAACATCACTCTTAATCTGACATCCTCAGTGAGTTCTTCATGGAGCTGAATGTTAGGATTTCTGTCATGCTGTGCCCATTGGATATGGCAGAGGCTGGGCTGTCCCTGGCTGTCACATGTGGAAGATCAGGACATGGTCATTTGAAGGGGTTTCTGGAACAGATTTCTGGGCAGGTAAACCAGAAAACATCAGTTGCAACCATGTTGGGAATTTACCAGACAAGGTCTTGCTGGAGACCACATCAGTGAAAAGGCAGTGAAAAGATATTTGTATTTTCATTGTGTCATTTGCCACGTATTCCAGTAGACAGACCATTTCCACATGTGTGCACAGAAATACCAAAGAACACAAACTCCTGTCTTGCTGCAATTCTCATCCTTCAGGTGAGATCTCACTCTTCTAGACTCGAGAAAGGAGCTAGAGGGGAAATTTGATTTTCAAGTATGTTACTCAACTAAGTAAAATTCAAATCATGAGTTGTCTGTGAGTGAAAATTAGCATCACATATTGTAATGCGGAAGTATTCTGATTTTTTTTCCTTCGAAGATGAGTATCTTAAAATAAGATTTAAAGACCTGAGGCTTACATGTCACACATGAAGCATGCTGCTTTGTACCAGGGTATTATTGCAGAGTACTGTTAGCAATGACAAAAAGACTTCTTTTTCTGCAGAATAGTGGAATTTTACTTTCACAGATGATTCCTGTGCAGTAGGATGCAGATACAAAGATCTTCCAGAAAAGTGGAAACGGAAGAGGGAAAACTTTTGGGCATCTGGTCCCTTCAGGGCGCTGCGGATTTTCTCAGAGCACAGGGAAGTGGTGGCCACCAGTTTGTTTGACAGATTATTATTTGCATCTCATTTACACAGGAAGCATTTAATCTCTTAACCAGTCATCAGCATTCCCGTGGGTTGTGCCTCGGGAGATCCCATGTGCCGGGCTCCGGCTGACACTGGCCCTCAGGCGAGGAGAGTCTCGGCTACCGGGAGCGCTGCCCGCAGCCGGCGAGCCCAGGGCTGCCGTGCTCCATCTTTCACCGGAGCCTGGCTCTCTGGCACAGGGCACCACTCGCGTTTCTCCTTCTCCAAGCGCCCAGCCGGCCGCAGGAGGCACGTTCTCCTCCAGGCTCCTTTCCCACGAGAGCAGCCGGACCCGCGGCTGGGGCGCACTGGCCCTTCCCGAAGCCCCAAGCCGTCCCGGGGAGATCGCTCTGGTCACGCTGCCGGGCCCCTCCGGCCTCAGGCGCTGCCGCTGCCGCCTCCGCGGAGCGACCGCGGCCCCGGCCCTGGCCCCGCTCCCCCCGGCGCGCGGTAGGCTCCGCCCCCGGCCGGCATTTGACGGACGAGCGAAGGAGCCAATGGCGCGGGGGGCACGTGCGCACGGCAGCCAATGGGTGTCGGCGGGCGGTGCGGGGGCGGGGCCGTGGCGCTGGAGCGGCTCGTTGTGCGCTGCGGACCGATCGCCTCCCGCTGCCCGGGCCCGGCCGCCGCCGCCGCAGGTGAGGCCGCGCGTGGGGCCGCCGAGCCGCACCCGAACAGCCCCGGCAGCATCTGCGGGGCCAGCGGGGGAGGGAGCGGGCGCCGGGGCCCGGGCGGCCGGGTCGAGGCCTGGGCCTGGCGGGGTAGCCTGGGCCTGTGGGGGGAGGGGCCTCTGGGCAGCGCGGGCCCAGGCCGGCCGGCGGGCGGGCGGCGGGGTCGCGGCCTGCGGGGCCCGCAGGGCCCGGATGGGGCACGGGCGGGGAGCGGATCCCGAGTCCACCATGCTTGCGGCAGGAAGGCCGCGGGTCTCGGTGCCGCGATGCGCTGCGGGTCCGTACCGCATCTCAGGGCCTTTCTCCGTTCGGTTAATGGCCTCACCTTTCATGTTTATTTTTCCCGTGTTTGTGAGGACACAGCTTTTAAATCTCCCACGTTGGGTAGGACTGGTACGTCCTCGTTGACTGGCGATATCCGAGGGTCCATGCCAGCGGGGTCAGTGCCGGTTGGTATCAATGCTGGCAGCGGGTCCGGTGATGGTGTGGCGAGTGCTTGGGGCCGCAGGAATCATGGCTAAAGCAGCAGCCACTCTTGTTTGTGTTCGTGGGGACAATTTTGAGCGTTTGCTCTGCGTTAGCGGTTGGAAGAGGCAGGTCTGCCCTAGGGGCCGTTTCACGGCAGCACGCGTGAGAGCTGGGGTGGGACAGCGTGGGGAGGAGAGGGCTCCTGCCGGGTTCTGCGCTGCTGGCAGTGCAGGCGCGTTTGCTGGGTACAGTGCTGTGTCCAAGACTTGCTGAGAAAGGAAACACAGTTTATTGCATGACGACTTGCACTGGGATCCTGTAATCACTTAATGAAGCATCTGCGGAAAACAAAAGAGGAAAGTGTTGGGAGGGGTAGGGATTAATTCCTTTTGTTAACGCATATTGTTATATTTGATCACTTTTTGAGGTGTTTGTATTTTTGTTCATTTTACTCCCTGATTGTGGGTGTTGACTGCTCATATTGCTCGGCTCTCACCTCTTTACGAGCTGTTGTTTCCCTGTACTCATGTTTTAACCACTTTTTTTTTTTTTTCTGGAACTGTGTGAACAGTTCTGTGACTTGTGTATTCCCCATTACACTAAGGACGATGCCCATGTTCAATAGTCTTTATCAAACCTGTAGAGTTGATGGGATTGCTTAGATTCCTGTTGAGTCCTGTGTTATGTCTGTGTCTGTGATGAATAATAAAATCAAGAGTCCTGAGCCTGCAAGTCTGTGCTGCCTGAGATGTTACTGTGAGTGTCCTGGTTTTTGTTCTGAAGCAGAGTAACTGTGTGTATAATGATCCTAGTGTTCCTGTGGTTTCCATGATTCAAGGCATTCAGCGGTCTGGAGTTACAGCTGTGATTGCAGTAGGCTCTCCCCAGGCCTGATTGGAATATGAACAGGAGCATCTTAAGCTGGTGTGATTGTTAAATGTCTTGTACAGTGAGTTTTTAGCCCTTCTGTGGTTGGCTCTGCAGGACCAGATGAACTCCTTAGGGAGTTGTCCTGAGCATTACCAAGTTTGTGAAAACAGCAGCAGCAGTAAGCACAGTCTGAACAGAAATGTGTATGTTGTGTGTAGCAGCTTATTTATCTGTTATTGATTTGTTGAACAGTGTCTGGTGTTGACATGAACTTAATGTGAAATGTGCTCTATGCTCTGAATTCAATCACTGTTTTCTTTTTGTTTCTTACATGTTCTATCACTTCTTTTTTTTTTTTTTTTCCTGGAAAAAGCCCTCCTTGTCTTGACCTGAGACGTGCCATTTTATTTTCAGAATCCATCTCTTTCAGCTGTTGTACCAGCCTACTTTCTCTCCTGAAGCTCTGATCTCTGTCTTGTTTTTTGCTTATTTGTTGTGAGCTCTCTGAATTGATTCCCAAACTTAGTGGCTGTCACTCTGACCACACGTGGGTAAGCTGCCTGTGAAGCTGATAGGCTTTTAGTCACCAACTTTAGAAAGCTCAAACTTGCTATGTTTTCAGACTTCAACAAGAAGTTGAGAGAAACTGTTCTTTTTGCACTTCCAGGTAATTTAGAAGCAGCCTGGAAGGCAGCAGCAAGAAAGTCCTGCCAATTTAAGCATTTAGGGAGAATGAAAGATTTCAGGAAAGGAGAGGTGATAAATTTTGATTTGTGCTGAAAATCATCAGGGCACTTCTCCTGTCTGATGTGCAGTTTTATATTCAGGCACCTGCAAGCTTCAAACTGCTGCCCTAAATGATCCATTTGTTATACAACCTTGGTATATGTAGGTGATGTATGCAAAAATAGATTTTAATCTTTTTTTTTCTGAGGGGATGGGGTGGAAATAAGCTGTACTGAGACAGCAGAGACGTTCTTCATGTGTGTGGGTTTGCTGCCTTTGGGGTTTTTTTGTTTGTTTAGTTTGTAATATTAGTTGCAGTGGCATAGTATTACAAAAGTGTGATTTTCCTATCTCGTATTACTTCCATGGCCTCCATGTAGGAACACAGCAGCAAACCATGGTGTCTCACCAGGCCCAGAGGTGGATTTCCAGCTAGTTGTTTTGTGCTGGTGAACACTTTGGATGCTGTCTTTTCCTCCTGCTATTCACTTGCCTTCCTGCCCCATCAAGGTGACAGTATCTGAAGATGGGTTAGTATTATTCAAGGTTGGATTAATGTGTGGAGCAGCTGTTGTTAGAAAGTGTCTGGAATCTACAGTTCTTACATACAGTTTTTCTCATCTCCTGCCCTCTCCCTCAGAATCATTCCCTCACAGCACAGTTGTTTCCAGATGTATTTTGAATAGGTGAAAAAATTGCCAAAGGCAATTTATGGACAATCTAACACTGTCTAAAAAAAGTAAGATAATAGATTATTTCTTTTAATATCAGTTTTTTAAAAAATACCAGTGCAGAAGGTGAGATAGTCCAGGCTGCACAAAGTTCTTTGATGTCTCTTCCCTGTGTAAGAACTTGGTGGTGTTAACTGGCAGAATCTTTGACCTAGGGGCAAACAACTGTGAAATCACAGAATACCAGAACTGCCGGAGCTTTGAGGGACCTTAGAGACCACCTTGTCCCACCCTCTGCCATAGGCAAGGACACTTTCCACTATCCCAGGGTGCTCCAAGCCTCATCCTGCTTGGCCTTGGACACTGGGCACCCTGTGCCAGGGCCTGCCAACCCTCCCAGGGAACAATTCCTTCCCAATATCCATCCCATCCAGCCCTGCCCTCTGGCAGTGGAAGCCATTCCCTGTGTCCTATCCCTCCATCCCTTGCCCCCAGTCCCTCTCCAGCTCTCCTGGAGCCCCTTTAGGCCCTGCAGGGGGCTCTGAGCTCTCCCTGGAGCCTTCTGCAGCTGAGCACCCCCAGCTCTCCCAGCCTGTCCCCAGAGCAGAGGGGCTCCAGCCCTTGGAGCATCTCCATGGTTCCTCTGGCCTGGCTCTAGCAGCTCTTGTGCTGGGAACTGTATTGTGCTGCTTGGAGGGTGTTGATTTGAAACTGAGCAGAGCCTGGTATGTTCTGTCAGGGCTGGCTGTTAACCTCGGAAGATGGGGAAATCTGCATCTGGCAGCAGATGTTCAGTGTCTCAGCCACAGGTTTCTGGTTGCCCTTGTTCCTATGGCTCGAGCTGAGAGGGGCCCCGATCCCTGCCGTGTGTTGGAGCAGCAGCGGATGCTAATTATGGCCAGCCTGTATCTGATTTCTGACAGCATCCCACTGATGATTAATTTTGTTCCTAGGAGTCGAGTGTAGTTCATCAGATTGGTAAAGTAAGGTCATTAGTCTGAAGAATGCAGCTTATTTTTTGGCCTCAAATGCTTTTGTCACTGAATGGCTATATAAGTGTTGACAAAAACACCGTGATGATATTATTATATGGACATGAATAAAAACAACTAAGGGAGGCATTTAAAACCCTTCCAGACAAATGTGATTGCTAAGGAACATCTTAAACTGCTTTTCTGAAATATTAAAAATATGACAGTTGAGATTTGTTAGACCAAAAATGTGCTCAAAACTAAGTTTATGCCCAGTGTTTATAAAACAACGCTAAAAAAAACCCCTTAAAATATGTTGTACTGAAATCAGTGATTCAGCATATGGAAATAGAATTTGTGGAAATGCAGCGGCAGATTTTAGTAATGGCTGCTTCTGGTGCTGAGCTATTTTTAATGGCAAAAGTGTTGCCATTATCTTAGGTGCAGTGAAGCTGAGGAGAAGAAGGGTAGTGTCCTTGTTTCAGGTGTGCAGAGGGGAAAAGAATCAAAGAAATGAGATCTCTTACCTCTGGAAAACCCAAAGGGTCTTCAAGTAGAAAGAGTTTACTTGGTTGCCAAATTTGCAAACATAATTTACATATCAGTGTGGAAGGGTCATATATGTACAGCATCTATGACAACATTCAGAGTTTCAAGGTAAAAGAATCTTCCTGTCTAAAGACAAGTGATTTTTTTAGTGACCTTCAATAGCATATGTCAGCATTGAGTTAGTTTTATTTTTGTGGGGAGGGGAGAGTTAAAATGCCAGTTGAATCAAACTGAATATTAAATTTAGAGTTTTCCTGTTTGCTGATTTAAAATATTGTGGCTGCAGAGCAGAGGAATTCAGATGAGCCAGAGAATATTGACCTGATTGATTGCTCTGGGACAGTAGAAGGAGAACTAGGGTAAGTAGTTTGGGGAAAGAATCTGTGGCACCTCACTTTCTGCCTTTAAATTTCCATGTGTATCCAATCATCATGTTCACAGCTCAAGAAGATGGCTTTTCCAGCAGAATTTAGGATTCATACTCATGAAACATAGCTGCCACTCAGCCTGAGAAAGGAAAGGTGAGGACAAGACTTGATGTGGTAACAGACTTTTGGAAACAGCATCAGGCACCTCTCAGACACGGGCATGCTCCCTCGTACCTGATTTGGTTTTATTCATAAGAAAAGCATTACCCTCTGCCCTCACAAATGTACAGAAATAATCTGTTGCAGACTTGGATATGTTGCTTGGATCTGAGTGTGTGGCCTGTAAACGCTGGGATGACCTTTGATTCTCAACTTCATGCCATTTTCCCTCATACACTATATAAATGCTGTTCTTGAGTTTAATAGACAATCTGGATTTTGCAATTTTTCCCTCCCCCCAAATGGCTTTCAATGTTTGGTCAAGATTTGATGGGGAATTGAAGGAATAATGCATGAATGCACAGTAAATCACATACCAACAGGACTTGCACTGCACTGTCCTTGTCCTGTTCGTGGAGAGGTCTGTGCTCGTGGAGTGCAGTATGCAGAGCTGTTGGGGACATAAAAAGAGTTTGATGTAGAGAGGTCTGGATTAAGTTATTGAGAGAGATGTGTTCTGACTGTGGAGTGATAGGAAACTTCTTTTTCTAGGGGAGGGTTTTCTTCTTGTGTGGCTATTCAGGTGAAACCTATTCTGTTCTTTACAGTGATTTCAGAGAAGAAAGTATGTTACTTTTTCTTCCCCCGGTGTCTATCCTTGTCTATTGTGATTAAACTCTTGCTTCTCAGTCGTGGCATGACAGCTGCCTGCAAAGCAAGCTTTTGCATGACAGCACTGTCTTGGGTAATTCTTGAAATCTGTTTTGCTGTAGCAGTTTAAATTCATGGAGGCTCTTCAGGCCGTTCTACATGTGTGGCCTTCTGGATTGGTTTGGCACTTGCCTGAATGTAGTAGTGTCCTTTTTGTTCTGTTTCAGGTGTGATCTGCAAGGCTCAGCAGCTTAAGTAAGACAAGATTGTGCCTCTTAGTCAGCCATGACTCTATGGGGGAGGCACATCAACAAATATCCATGTGCTGGAGAAACAGAAAGGGCTCTAACAGCCCTGAGATTCTACTTGAAACACCCCATTTAGATTCTTAAATACACAGGCAGAGCTCAAGAATAAACTTATGAGACTGAAGTGAGTTGATGAAACAGCTCCTGGGCAGAACTCTGCAGCATCACTGGTTTCAGGTTCCTGTTCATTTATCACTGACAACACCAACAAGGAGATTTCACCAGTTCAGGGACTTTGTCAGGCACTGTCCACTGAAGCCATAGAGTGTCCTGGGTGATGCTGACTTGCGCTTCATTGCAAAGAAAGATGGAGGTTCGGGGTGAGTAGCTGGGTCAGCAGCCTCAGGTCTGCTGTGGTTTAAGGCTCACTGTGGCCCATTCCCAGTGCTCCAGTCAAGGTGCCATGAGCTCTGTGCTACAGAGCTCGTTGATCCAGGAAGAATTTCTCATTTTAAGTTCTGCACTAGTTGCACCATCATCCATCCCACCTGAAGAGCTGCCTCCATCTCTGGGGAACCCACCGCAAGAAAAACATGGACGTGTTAGAATGAGACCAGAGGAGGCCATGGAGATGCTCTGAGGCTTGGAGGCAGGCTGGGAGAGCTGGGACTGTTCACCTGGAGAAGAGAAGGCTCCAGGGACACCTGAGGGCCCCTTGCAGGGCCTAAAGGGGCTCCAGGAGAGGGACTGGGGACAAGAGAAGGAGGGACAGGACACAGGGAATGACTTCCCACTGCCAGAGGGCAGGAATGGTTGCGATATTGGGAAGGAATTGTTCCCTGGGAGGGTGGGCAGGCCCTGGCACAGGGTGCCCAGAGCAGCTGTGGCTGCCCCTGGATCCCTGGCAGTGTCCAAGGCCAGGCTGGACAGGGCTTGGAGCAGCCTGGGCTGGTGAAAGGTGTCCCTGTCTGTGACATTGGGACTTGGAGCACTCTGGGATAGTGGGAGGTGTCCCTGTCCGTGGCAGGGGGTGGAATGAAATGGTCTCTAAGGTTCTGTCCAACTCAACTATCCTATGATATCAATTATCTTGGGATTCTGTGAGCATCTCTAGGTGTCTGTGTACTAATTTGTGACCCCAGTAGTGGTCTGGTGCCTTTTTAGTCCTGTGAACAAGGTAAAGGTAGACAAAGCTTCTTGTCTCACATTGGACATGGACAGTTCTTCTTGCCAGTGCTCTTGTTTCACACGATCTCCACAGATCCATACAGATCTTCCTTCTTAGCAAACATCTTGCAGTGAAATAATTCATAGCAGTGATTCCTAGCATTCTGGATGGAGATACAGAGTATCATTGGGAAAAAAACTTTTATTGGTCTGTTCTGAGAACTGTTAAACCTGTGGGATCTTATACACTTTTGTGAGAGGGTGATTGTCATGGTCAGTGCAACATTTCTGCAGATATTGCCCATGAGAGCTTTTCAGTCCAGTCCTGGGAGTTCTGGCCTGGCTGAGGGTGCCTGAGCTGTCGTGGGCACAGGTGGTGAAGTGTTGGGCTGCGTGGATTCAAGCACCTCCAGAATTAGTGGAGGATTCGGGCATGGCACATACAGTTCCCATTGCTATGTGCACCCTTGGCATTGTAAGTTTTAGGGCATCTTACCCAAGGAAGAAGGTGGCTGCTGCCTTTTTAAGCAAGCTTCTGAAGCATTTGGTTATTTTGTTAAAATTGTCATTTCAGGACTTGCGGTGCAGTGGAACCTAGTCTTAAAGTTTTAGTTTTTTGGAACATAAAAATGAAGGCCTGTTTTGGAAAGGTTGTAAACTACCAGTCTCTTTTTAGTCAGCTTTCCCAAATGGAGCTGTTGGGCCTTCTTGCCATCATTGGCCTGTCCACTGAGAATATAAAAGCATTCAGTCTTTTGATTTATGTCATTGTGAGCTGACAAACATCATTTAATGAAGTTCTAGATGCAAATTAGTGTCTCGGCCTGGCTCTCAAATCTGGAATATTTACTCATGGAAATGGATTGCTACCACGTTGGTAAAGAAATATCAGGACATTGCCTCAGCAATGTCAGTGCAGTCAGTTCAGTGTGAGCAGAATAAAAACTTGTTTTCCAGTGCAGTACTGCTTGTTTCAGCCATCCTATCTTTTAACTCCTTTTCTTTTTGGAAATCTTTTCAGTATGCGGTGGTTACAATTCTTCAGGGATTCTTTTTAACTTTGCGGGCATGAGAACTGTTCACCTGTTGAGGAGTACACCTGCAGGTGCAGGGTGGGCAGCAGCAGTGTGACTTGCAGGTTGTTTTGGGAGGGAGTTCTTCAACTCTGACAGACTTGGGGCCATGACCATTTCCCTAGGGAGCCTCTTCCAGAACCTTTTCCTAATATCCCACCTAAACCTCCCCTGACACATTGAGAAGACCCTGGACTAAACATCAGCATCAGGATGGGCACAGCCCAGGGGGGCTTTGTCCGGGGTCCCTCCCCAGGGACACCAGCTCGAGCTGTTCTGTGTCTCTGCACCACAAAGGAACAGCAGTCTGGGACTGTGCTGTGGGAAACCTGGGGCCGAGTCAGTGGGAGGAGCTGGTCTGACTGGGAAATGTGGGGTGTGCAGGGAGTCACACAGGGCTTGTGGGGTCACTGGAGCCACCTCTGCAAAGGGGCCCTGATCCCAGCAGTGAGCTGGGGTCGTGCCAGTGGGACCCCCAGAGTGGCATCAGACTCGTGGAATGGAAGAGTTTCCTTAACGCCTCACTAGCAGAGGAAGTGGTTTCCTACTAACTTCCAGGCTGGCTGCACAAGTGCTCAGCAAGAGATTAGGAAGAAAGAAGCATCTTCTCTCTCTGCTCTGCTCCTTTAGCTCTCCTGTGCCTTTATTGCTCCTGCGTGCTTTGTTCCTGGTATCCCATGGAAACCTTTGCCAGGCCTGTGTGCAAGGGCTTCCTATGTTTGCTTTCTAAAAGCATGAAGAAAAGCAGGTGGAAGCTTCCTTCCCACCTTCCAATGGCTCTGAATCAGCATTGCCCCAGGCACTGCTAGAGTATCCTGAAAGGTGTAGACTGTGAGTGTTGCAGACAGGTTAGAGGATGTGGGACAATGATACAAAATCAGTAGCCGCTTGCCAAACTTGTCAATTCTGCTTTATGCCAAATAGAAGTGGGGTAACTTGCCATCATGGTGTGCTGAGAATGTTTCTCTGTTTGATATCTTACTGTGGTGCCTTCTCTTCAGGCAACAAATACACCTCAGAGAATTAAAAAAAACCCCAAACCCCCAATCTTGTAAGTGTCTGTCCTTGAAATCATTACAATATATAGAAATGTCCTAATCTCAGCAGCAGGAAGGATTTGTATCATAAATAAATGGCAATAAAGGGTAGATTTGGTTAAAATGAAAGAAATTTTAACTTTTCCCTCTTAAAAGTGGGAAAATCTCAGTGTTTCTTCCTTTGCTTACTAAATATTGTAGTTGTGCTGTGCAACTTGCTCTCGTCAGCATATCGGTGTGTTCTGTTTGTAGGGCTTGAACTTTGTAGAGGGCAAAGGCAAGCAAAGTTGCCTTCTATTCAAATAATTCTGAAAATGTGTGTTACGTGGTTTTATAACTTAGACACAGTGACCAGAGACAGTTCAGCTGTTTGAGTGTTGTTTACCAGAACAGGAAACTTCTCTTGAGATTGTGCTCAGCAAGTTCTGACTGAGCCAGGAGGGAATGTGTATTTAATGGCAGAATTTGCACTACAACTGAGATGACCTGGCAGTTTAAAAAATGTCTGCGGAGGGGAGTCTCTTGCCCCTCTTCCAGCTTTGCAGTGCTCCCTGTGTTCTCCTGTCCTGTGGAATTAACTGGTGCTTATCTTGCTGCAAGGAAAGCAGATTAAAACTGCTGACACAACAAAAAGGGCTTCCCTCCTGTGTGGTTTTCCATTGCTTTCACAGTACAGACTGGTTATCCCATGGGAAGAGGGTGTTGGAATGGGCTCGTGTTGCCACTTGAAACACAAAAATGGGGGTAGAACCTGATCTGTGGGTGAAGGGGAGCAAGAGCTGCCGGCTCTTAATGCTTCAACACATATTGAAAAGATTCAGTTCAAATCCGTACTGCGTTAAATCTCAAGTTAGCATAAGTCTTCTCATGATTTATTCTACAATGTGCTCAGGTATTTATTTAAAAATTTGACCTTCACTGTCAGACTTGAATTAACAGCAGCTGCTGGTGAAGGGCCTAGAAGTCCCTTCATGCAGGGAGCATTCCCTTTCTAGACTGAGGATTTCTGGTTGCTGTTTCTGTCTTCTTATATTATTCAACTTCTGGCTGTCAGTAGTGGTGCAGTCCCTGGAAAGGCTTATCCTTTAGCAGATCCAGATCTATAGATCCTGTTGCAGAAACAGGGTTTAGATACCCTGATTTTGACCATTTCAAACTAGGATTCTGGCAAGCCATGAGCAGCTTGAGTCTGGTGTGAGTTTTAGTTGTAGGTAACTAAAACATCAGGATTCAGTCCGTGATGGTGGACTGAGGGAGAGAGTATCTTCCTGTGGTAGGAATTCTGGATGTTTTCTCAAGGCTTTCTTTAAAAAGCTGCAAAAATAGAAACTATCAAATACTCAATATACCCCCAAGTCAGTGTGCAGCACAGACTCACAGGTTTCATACACACAGTTAAGCAGCACCAAAGGCAGCATTAAACAGTAACAGGCCTTGAGGTACAGGATGGACAACGTTTACAGGGGGAAAAAATTGAGAAAATTAGTAGTCCCCAGTTGAAACACTGAATTGGGTCAGATCTTGCTGCTTCTTGTTTGCCTGTCTGAAAGAGTTCTGGGCATAAGGTTGGAATTGAGGTTGAGGTGGCAGTTTGGTTTTGCTGGTCAAGTATCTGGACATGAGGGACCTGGTTTTTACTTTGGCTGTTGGGAATACTTCGGTGTTTACAGGAATGTCTTCAAAATCTATTTTGATGCTTTTCATTAATGTAAAAAAATAGAAATCCTCAGGAGCTCTTTAATGGTGCATAGTTCTGTAAAATGTTGTGTTTGTGCTTTTGAAAGAATAAATTGTTCTGGAATTTTCAACAAATAATGTTTTGTTTTCTGAGTTGAAAAAATGCATTGCTGAAGCAGTGGCTTGTTCTCATTTTAAAATAAACATTCAAACTTATTTCAGGTGGAGGAAGTTTGGTTTATGGAAATGTGAAGATCTAAACCTCACTGAGGATTTTTTCACTTTGCAGATATATTGTAAAATGTCCAATGGTTATGAAGATCACATGGCTGAAGATTGCAGGGATGATATTGGTAGGACAAATTTAATTGTGAACTACCTCCCTCAGAACATGACACAGGATGAATTACGGAGTCTTTTCAGCAGCATCGGTGAAGTGGAATCTGCAAAACTTATTCGGGACAAAGTTGCAGGTATGATTTAATATTTCGGAAATTGTCACCTTGTGCTAGACTGCTCGACCAAATACTTGATTAAATACAACTTAATGTAGAATACTAAATATTTCTGAATGTGTAACAAACCATTAACAAGTTTGCCTGGAGCTCCTGTAATGCCCGGATTGGGTATTGGGAGGATGAAATGCTCAAGGCTAAGTTAATGACTGCTGTGTGTATGACTAAGAATTCTAAGAAGTACAATTCCCAAATTTGAACATTAATAGTCAGGTCTAAAACTGGTTTAGATTTAGTCCCCAGCTGATTTATTCTTCCTACAGTCTGTGTGGTTTTGACTCCACCAGAGCTGTGAATATACAAACAAATCCTTTGTTCTGATTTTGATCAGTAAAATAAAGGTGTGCTGAGGTTCTGAAGTGGCTGCAGGTCTTATCACCGTTATGGAATTTAACTTGTAAGTTCCTTAAATAGGATTGGTAGTAGTAGCTTTAAAATATGAGAGGAATGAATTGTTCTGACTTGGAAAACTTAATGTTTCCTTGAAGCAAAACAAGTGCTGACAGAGCAACTGCTTCCATATCTGTTTAGTTGCAGGAGGTTTTAGCTGCTCTCTGAAGAGGTTTTAATCCTTGAACTGTTAAAGTACTTAATTTACAAGTTTTGATTATTCTTGTTCAGAATTCACAGAATCTTGGATTCAGTGAGAGCGCTTGGTTGTTTCTGGAGGGGGAAAAAAAAGTGCTGTTAACTAGCTGTGCACGGGTGTTTGTTCCCAGCCTGCTGCTCAGTGCTTGTGGAATTCTCTGTTGCACATGCTCAGTGTTATGTTTCAGGATCCAGCAATACTGATCGTTATCTAATCCTGCTCCCCGGTCTGTAAAAGCTGCATGGGAGCTGATGGAATGCATGAGAGGTCTTTGTGCGTCATCTTTAGTGCTTTATTTGCTTGAGAATACCCAAGAGAACTGAATAATTAAAAACTTCAAAATTTCCCTTCCGAATAGCCTCTCTGATTTCCATGTCTCTGGCATTCCTGATATCTTACAGGTGAAGCATCTCACGATGTCTGTCGGTCCCAATGTGTACTTAAGGGGTGTATATGTTCAATCATGATAAAACAGTTGCATAAATACTGATTTCTTTGAATGTTTCAGTAGGTGAGTGTTTGTCCCAGATGTCGTCATGCGCTTTGTGGCACTTAGAAGTTGAGGCTTGCTCTGAAGGCTGATTTTACAAGGAATAAGACCCCTTAATGATAGCAAGTCATAGCTGACCCACATGTTAGACTGTAAAATGAGCACAGAACCACCTGCACAGGAGGGATGGATATTTTCAGTGGGAAGCAAGAGACGCATCAGTGCCTGAAATTGAGAGCCTGCTTCACACTGTTACCTGGAGCATCAAAAACTCTGGTAAAAGTCTGGTTAACTTTAACTTGGAACTTGACAGTGCTGGGTAGTTTAAAGTCCAAAACATACACTCGTGTGCTAGAGGTTGTTCTTAACCTCAAGAATCAAAAGTAAAATTGCTGTTATTGTTGCAGAGAGTCCTTGAGTGCCTGTGGACAGAGCAATGGCTTTTCTCTAAAGTGGTTGCAGGTGCTGGATTCTGTGTGGCTCCTGTGGTCGCGCCACTAAATTTTATTGCTACCTAATTTTTCATTTGCTTGCAACACTATTAGGAGCAGTTACCAATCATCTCCATGCTTACTGATAGTTCTGGAATATCAGTGCCAAAGAACTGGCTCCTTCTGAGCATTTTTATTCCCTCTTGCTTTTGTTTCTGCCCCTTGATGTTCACATTATATTCTTTATTGTGAGGCTCTCTGTTAAACAGATGGATGTACAGCAGTCCCTGAACAGAAAATCCTGTGGCACAGTTCTGCTTTTCTTGTGCCTCTTGCATTTCTCTGACCCCGTGGCAGACAGCAGGAAACTAGAGCTGCAGAAAAACCTGTTTAGCTCCCTGACCTTGGTTTCTGGTCAGATAAGTCATAATATTGGCATGTGAGATAGAGCAGGTTGAGTAGCCTGGACAGGAGGGAGGGAATCTTCTGCTTTTGTTGGAATTAGACTTTTTGGATCAGTTTAGTTCTTCTCAATGAAGTCATAACTTTTGGTGCCCTCATAAAGTTTTAATAATCAGAGTATTTTGTCTTTGCTGTTCCCTTTATTGTTTGTGTTTGCCTGCTTTTTGTAAAACATTGAATGATACATACATTTCTTATCAATTTGTCTGTTAATGAAACATGGGGCAGAAAATTCTTCTGCCTGGCATGCAGTTTTTCATGACTTATTGAACTGGCATAAGCTGTCTGGAGACTGATTAGTGGGATTCAAGAATTGACTTGAAAGCCAAAGTTTGGATTTGTTTGAGCAAAGTATTTTTTTATGGTCATTACCTTTGCTGTTCCATTTTGCTTCAAATGCGGCAGAGTATTGAACAGTCTGTGTTCCATTTGTTAGATTGCGGTTATAAAATGTAGAGAAACTCCTTGAAGCCTCCAGACTGTTTAGCCTTTATCTCACTTCTGATGAGCATTACAGGAAGGTGAAAGTAGCGACCAACCATAGTGTCAGTTCACATTCCTTACCAGGAGCTTTTGGCTTTGTGTAGGTATGGGTTATAACCACGGATAAAGGTGTGACTGTGTGTCTGGTTTGTTGTTTGAAATGTGACAGCTTCTTTTTCTGTTGTTTTGTTTTTCTTTTTTTTTTGTTTCAGTACCTGTACAGAGAAACTTGTGCACAGTAGATGAGCATTAGAGGGATGCAGGGCTCCTCCTGATCATACTGGAGGAATAGAGTGCTGGGCTTTGCATTCCCCAGTTGGTGTAGTGCATTCCTCAGCACTTCCAGACATGGCTTTGCTTGACTTGTGATGACTGAATCAGTTCTGGGGGTCAGCAGGCAAATGCTGGATTGTTGCTATGCTGCTCACCATACTTCTGTTTATGAAGAGTATGTCTTGGATACCCAGGATTTTCATAAAAGAATTAGAGAATTCATTAGACACTGTTCTTTCTGTCAGATCTTAATCGAACACCAGCCATGCTCTCGGGCATTGAGCCCTAGGGGACTGTTAGAAGGCTGATTCCCACTTTCCAATATAGTATGGCACAGTGTCCAGCCTGCAATGTAACTTTTTCACTGGTGTATATCCTGGCCTGTCATGATGATTGCTGAGATCTGTGAGTAGCCATCGACCTGATTCCATCAATGAAATCCTCTCTTCCTGTGGCTCTGGCACATGAGGCTGAGAGCAAGAAGTCTGGGGTTGGTCCAGTTGGCCTGCACTGATCAGGTAGTAGCTCTGCAGCATTGACTGCAGACACAGCAGGGCCAGACTTGTACTCTGCACTGATTCCCTCTCCAGGGATGTGTATGATAAATGCCCAATTTCTTGGAGCAACTGCCTCATGCTGGAGATGATCCAACAGAAGAAACCTGTCTTGTGCTGTATTTTGCTTGGGGGGTGTTTGACTTTGCTGTGACATCCAGGTTCTGGGGTTTGGGTTTCCAGCCATTGTGCTGGGCTGGACTACTCTAACAGGTGAGTTTTTTTAAAATATTTCTCCTTCAGTACCTGTTAATGCAGGAATCCAGGCATCTGGGCCCTTTTGGGCTTGCTCAGTTTCTTGTAGCACAGATGCTGATGGCTTGTTGTGTCAGGATGTCTGACTGTACACAGCACAGATGCTTCTGCTCAATAGCTCTAAATTTTCCAAGAGAACCTGGTCATCTTCAGCCTGCTGTCCCTGCAGCTGTACACAGGCTGTTAGTCCTTTTGGACCAAATGCTGAAGCTGAAAGTTAGTCAGTCATGTGTGTTTTAGTTTCTCTGTCTTCCCCTTACTCTGCTGAAGTATTGGGACTTTCAAACGTGACTATCCTAAAGCTCTGAAAAGGTCAAGTTAAACTGCTTTATTGTGGAATTATTAAAAATAAAAAGCTACCAAATTCACGTGCAATGGCAACACATGGTAATATTAAAAATAATATTCCTGCTTATTGGAATAATTGTGTGAGCTGTGGGGTGCTCCCACCTCTGATACTGTATGTAACTGTCCTCAGAGTGCAAGGGAAAAAAATTCAGCAAAACTACCACAAAGCTGTGTTGGGGGAGTTTAAACTGGATATTATGAAGAGTTTGTGCCCCTTGAGGGTGCTGGGCACTGCCCAGGCTCCCCAGGGAATGGTCCCGGCCCCAAGGCTGCCAGAGCTCCAGGAGCGTTTGGACAGCGCTCTCAGGGATGCTCAGGGTGGGATTGTTGGGGGGGTCTGTGCAGGGACAGGGGCTGGAAGGGCCTGACAAAGACCATCAGTCCAACTGAGAATATTCTGTGGTTGTATTCTAGGATTCTCTGAACCTTTTTCCCTATGTGTTTATGGTTTCAGACTTCTGTGGGATCTGTTTATTGCTCCTGACACCATATCCCTGCTCTGAGTCCCTGGTGACTCAGAGCTTGCTGTGCACACCTCGCTCTCTGAGGGTTCCTTCTGACAGTGATGGATTTTTGTAAAGGAGGCATCCAACTTACTGAGGTCTCCTGTTCCTTCCCTCACACCTTCTGTACTGCCTGAGCAGGGAATGTTTTCCCTCTGCTACTCATGACTTTCTACCCTAGGAAGTGTAGATATGATCCTTCACATGGTTCCAAAGGCTCTGTCTATACCTGTCAGCTCTCTAGACATGGCCCCCTCTGTGCAGAGGCTGGGAAGGAGACAGGGGCGTCCTCTGCACCCTCTGCATTAGCTTGTGTCAGTGTGAGCTCTGCTGGAACTCGCTATGGTCAAACAATGGGATCAGCAGCTGTCAGGGCAAAGGGATCTCTCCACTGCTGCTGGCAAGTGTGGAGCACAAAGGACGTTTCGGGGTGACTTGTTAAGGCTTTATGCAGGAATTTGGGGTCCATCTCAAACATTGCTGTCGTGATGGCTCACTCTCTGTAGGTGTGCCTGGGACATGTTGCTTACAGGACCAAAAGAAGTCACTTTCGGATAGTTGCAATTCCTC